CTGAGACTGCACAGCCCTTTCTGGGAGAGTTACTAGTTACTGTCATGAGTCCTGGTAAACAAAGGACTTAACTATGGCTAGGCATCTGCAAGGCTATCAGTGGGCCAGGTACTAGGTTACTGGCAAGACTGTGACTGGAAGGGGAAAAGGCTGCTCTGTATTTTTTAAGTTCACCACAAGCCTACCTCCAACTTTTAGGAGCAGATCAAAGCAGAACATTAATGAAGTGAGTGTTCTCAGCTATGTAGTAGTTAGTACCAGAATTCTAACCTAGAAGTAACTCCAAAGCCCAGGGTATCCCTTCCATTATGTTACTTCTTAGATGGTACCATCAACCATTACTATATCATTACTTTGGGGCCATATAGAGGGGTAGGGGTGGGAGGGGGAGGCTGTCAGGAGAATGTGGATGTATGCCAGACCTAAATTACTAGCACAGTGATGCCTATTCTCTCAAGTGCTGCCCAGTATGGCACATTGTGAGTAATTGGGCTTGTTCCACATTTCTATGTGATTACTGGATTAAGCATGCCCTCCACCTCTGACCCTACACATGCATCATACTCAGTTAAAGAGTTATTCATTTCTCAAGCTCTACTCTTTAGAGCACTTAGAGTTTTGTCCTCAACATTAACTCTGTGCCTTTGGAGCAGCACTCAGAGGTGCTGGATCCCAGTTTCATAAGAGTAATCCACAGCAGTTAGAGATGTGGGCCAGATTAAGAACTGAAGTTGGACTATGTTTTTTGTTTCTCCATTTCACCTCTGAATATCTTTGTTTTAAAATTCTGGTATGGAGCTCTGGGGTAGTTATGAGAGTTATCAACTTCTTGATTGCAGTTTCCAGCTATCTTCATCCCTTTTTGCTCAACAATGGATCATGGTTACCCCATATCCATTGGAAATGAAATGAGTCCACTTTGCCAAAAGGCTAATCTGGGGGAGTAGGAACATGCATAAATGTGCTTGCGAGCACATGAATACAGGATTTTCCTATGACGTGCTGATGCTTCACTGGGTATGACTTGGTGTGTAACTCTCAAAGTAAGTTTAACAGGGAGAGGAAAGACCTTGCCCTAATATTTATGTGAAAAGTCATTTGCCACCTAATTGTCAGACTAAGACTGGGAAATAAATTGTAATAAGAATGATTTTTAGGATATTACACTACATAGAGCTTTTCTCATTCCCTAGCTTTTGTCCACATTTTTAGGCTTTTCTAATGAAAAGAGCCTCAACCTCTGATTCATATTTAGACTTGCTATTTCAGGAAAAGTTAGCAAAACTGATCTTTCTTATTCAAGGATACATCAGCAATTTAAGGAGGAAAAAAGCTTTGCCACCACCCTTCCTCCCCCATTGTATTGCTTTTTTCTAATTATCATTTCTTTCTTTATTAATATTTATTATACATACTATGTAATTCTTCATTGGCAGCTTTTTCATAAAGCCAGAATCTGACATTCCCTATCTCACAAGCTTCATCCCCTGCCACTCCTCCTCCCCTTATTGACATCCCACTTATATAGGAAGTATACCTGGGACCCAAAGGACAGAATACTGTTACATGCTTCCATTCTTTTACTTACCGTGTTCTCCCTGTTGGGACTCTTAAGACTGCCTCTCCTACCTTACTCTCAACCTCACTATCCCAATTTTGTTCATAAAACTCCTACTTGACTCAAGGCTTATCTTTGGAAATCATTCCCTGGTTCGAATCCACCACCCTTTCAGGCTGGGATGGGTTACTCTTCTGTGTTGCCAGAGCACCTTGTAACTATCATCCATATTGTGTTATAATCTATTTTCTCGTCTGTCTACTCACTAGATTGAAGATCCTTGAGGGTAGGGATAGTATCTTATTCACCATTGTATTTCCAGCACCTGGAAATACAGATGTCAACATCGGAATTGAACAACGATCTCTCATTGTTGGGGTTGAACATCACCAGATCTTTCTCATACCTTTTTAATGTAATATATCCTGTGCCACTGGCTTCCTGGGGAAGAACAGAGTAGCACTAGTGAAAAATAATACAATGACACCCCAAATGCAAGCCTGTCATGCAAACCTGTGCCCTTGGTCAGAAGTGCAGAGAGAATCAGCCAGAACCTTTAGAACACAGCTGTGATTATAAACACCTGCTTTCGGGAACCCCTCTCTTAGTCCCACTGCTTCCCCCATCTTCCACTCAGACATCTGGTGGGTAGTGACAGAGATAAGTAACCACAGAGACAGTGGATTTTTTTTCTTATTTTAGAAGAAGACTAGCATATTAACCACATCTTAACTATAAAGAAGAACCACTCCATAGTGACTTGAGCCTGCAACCTACCCTCTAGCCCAATTTCCTTTGAGTTTGCAGTTTGGGTAAGATTTGCTTGTGGTCACTTTGGGTTTGAGCTGACAACCTAGACTCACACCAGTGTCATCTCGACTAGAGCACACAGCATCGAAGTTTCTGTACCCTGCTATGTGTTAGCCAACAGCTCATTGAAAAACCCTTATTGTTAATGATAAAATGAACTTATTTACAAAACAGAAACAGATTCACAAAGAAAACAAATTTATGGTTACCAAAGGGGAAAGTGGGGGAGGGATAAATTAGGAGTTTAGGATTAGCAGATACAAACTACTATGTATCAAGTAGATAACTGAATCACTTTGCTATACACCTGAAACTAACACAACATTGTAAATCAACTATAGTCTAATATAAAATAAAAATTACATTTAAAAAATAAAATAAATGACAAGGTCCTGCTGTGGAGCACAGGGAACTATATTCCATACCCTATCATAAGCCATAATGGAAAAGAATATATATATATGTATAACTGAATCACTTTGCTGTACACCAGAAACTAACACAACACTGTAAATCAACTTTACTTCAATTTTTTAAAAGGCTATAGATTAAAAAAAAAACCTGTTGCTATTTATTGTGTATATGCTCATTATAGAAATATTTAAAAAGCAAGATCTGATACATTTAAACATTTTCCAGGACTTTCTAACCATGTTGGGGTTACACTGTATGCCTTTTTTATAAGCTCTGAATAAAAATTTTCACAGCCACAAAGAAAGTTAACTTCAGGGGGATAGAATCAAGTGATTGATAGTTCTTGTGCACGACTTGTTCAGCTGGTGTCTGCATGACAGTTCCTCAGTTGATGAATCTCCTCTTTGATGAGTGAGTGCCTTCTCTTGCTATATTTGATAAGAATCACTTCAAGTCCCTAAGGTTACTAAGATTATGAAACTAAGATATATGGTATTATTCATGCTATTTTTTTTTTACAAGATGAAAGCTATGGTCTACAAAATCAGCTCTGGGGAGACCTGAGAAAAAGAATGAGCAGGTGAAGAACCAAAATACCGCTACCCAAGGTAGAAGAGAAGTAAATACAAAACTGAGGAGCACAGCAAATGCGTAGTCATTGGCAACCTGAATTACTGTTCTCTCATCCTGAAGAACTAACCAGATAGAACTGTAACAAAAATTCATGCTGGGGCTTCCCTGGTGGTGCAGTGGTTGAGAGTCCGCCTGCCCATGCAGGGGACACGGGTTCATGCTCCGGTCCGGGAAGATCCCACATGCCGCGAAGTGGCTGGGCCCGTGAGCCATGGCCGCTGAGCCTGAGCGTCCGGAGCCTGTGCTCCGCAACGGGAGAGGCCACAACCGTGAGAAGCCCGCGTACCGCAAAAAAAAAAAAATTCATGCTGAACAACTACGCCAATGGCAGCTGTGTAGTTTAAGCTCATGGGATTTGGAGTCAGATAGACCTGGGATTGAATCCTGGCTTTCTTCCTTACTGGCATGTGACCTTGGGAAAGTACTTAACTTCTGTAAACCTCAGTTCCCACATCTGTAAAATGGGTGGTATAATAATGGTACCCACATCAAAAGTTGATGAGAGAATTTTATAAGACAATGTAAATAGTGCATTTTAGCACAGTGTAGAGCATACAATAAGGCTCAGTAAATGTTAGCCCAGGACATGGCACAGGTAGGGAGGGATATTCTACAACCTCCCCTGAGTAGTTTGTCCCCAGTGCTTAACCAGTAAGTCCAATATATAATGACTGTTTAACACTGTGCTAGAGCTTAAGCGGGAGAAACGTGGTCTCTTCTCCCCAAGAAGCTTACAATATAAAAAAAAGAATACACACGGAACAACTGGAGAACAATTAGAACGGACAGTGTAATGTTCAGGGACTCACAGAATATCCTTGAGAAATCAGATAAAGAGTTTGAGAGATGTTACACAGCTGCATAGGTAATTCTTGGCAAAATGGGTTTTGACTGGCATGAGAAGGAGTAGTCAAAGGATGCATCAAGGATAATGTGAGAAAAATGCCTCGTATGGAAAGGATGGATAGAATATAGATGAACAGAGGCGAGAAGCAGGGCTTCCCAGGTTCAATTGTGATGATGCTTTTGGAATGCTTCCCAACACATTTTCTCTTCTTGATGATTCCTATTTGGTTCCCTTAGGTCACATAGCTTTTAACCCTAGGCCGTGAGGCTGGAGTACAAAATAAGGAGATAAGACATAAAAGAAGCACCTTCTAGATGGAAAGGGAGCTAAAGGTCCTCTGGTCCTGGAAGGGAGAGAAAAGGAGAGATTATGGTGATCATCCGGATGACACACAGAAAGATGAGAAGCCTAGAGGGGAAGACAAAGTATACAAATGACTATTTAGAGTGTGATCAGTGCTGTGAAGGAGAATCCAAGTGTTCCAAGAGAGTAAATATGGGGTTTCAGCTAGTTGGAAAAAGCTTCTGTGAGGAGTAACATTTCTACGGAGGTCTGGAGAGATGGTAGAAAGCGTGATCAGGGAAAGCATGGCTTGCAGAAAGACTTTAATTTGGGAATTTGGTAATTGGGCAATCCACCAAAAGATCAGAAAGCAAGTGAGAGGTAGAACTGTGGGCAATAGAGATGGAGATGTGGTCAGGGTAAATATGGTGGCAGAACGTGTGAACTACTGGAGCAATGCAAGCCATTGGTGAGTTTGAAGCAGAGGTATGATCCAATCAGTTTAGGTCATATGTGGTGTCTTCAGTCTCCCTGAGAATAATCAAGCCAGGAGTACTGACAAGACTGAGATTGAGTCTGGACTTTGCTATGACAGTTTCTCCGTGGTCATGAATGTCTCCACAAGCATCTTAGCAACAGATGTTGACACATGTTCTGTCACTCAACATGAATCTCACATTCTGAAGGATCATAAATATTATCATTATTACCACTGAAACTGACAAATGTTTTTAGAGAACTTTAAGGCTTCCATCAAACACTGTCTACTTTATTCTCAAAGGAGCTCTGTGAAGTGAGCACTACTATTAGCCCCATTTTACATAGGAGTGAGGCTCTGGTCAATGCTTCCTTGCTTAAGGTCAAATAAAGTAAAAAAAATCTCAGAAGGCCTGGAGCAGTATCTTAAACCAGGTTCTCTAACTCAGACACCTCTGTTCTCTCCATTTGGTCACACGACCTTCAAATAGTAGGTTCCAAACAGCTAATGAAATTTCATAATATTTACAAGGATGAGTAAGAAATCATATGAATTCGGGGGATGGGTGGGGCTAACGAGTTCAATTTTGAAGATATTGAATCTGAAGTGACTGTAGGGTCTTCAACTGGAGAACCCAGTAGACACATATTAAGGGTGTGGAGCCAGGAGAGGATTATAATGTGTCCGTATCTATTTTAGAGTTAAAGATCTCAGAGCTTGCTGTCTTCTTGTGGGACAAATCCAATGGATTAACCTTAACAGAGGTTGGTCTTTTATCAACATAGAAATGATTTTATGGTTAAGGCGCTTTTTTGTTCTGGAAACTAAATTTAAAGGTTGACTGTATTGGGCTTTTGTCTTTTAGGGGAAAAATCTATAAACAGAAATAATATGAGCAGTCAAAGAACATGATTTGCAAAACCATAATGAATACTGATCATAACTTAATCAAATGATTATAACTTAATTAAAAATTAGTGGCCCAATATAGTTGCTTCGCTAGATTCCAGGTGGGGTTGGCAATCATGTATAAGAAGCTGATGTGGGAACTATATTCAATATCCTGGGATAATTAACAAATTGAAGGAGAAAAACCATATGATCATCTCAATAGATGCAGAGAAAGCTTTCGACAAAATTCAATACCCATTTATGATAAAAACCCTCCAGAAAGTAGGCATAGAGGGAACTTACCTCAACATAATACAGGCCATATATGACAAACACACAGCCAACATCGTCCTCGATGGTGAAAAACTGAAACCATTTCCACTAAGATCAGGAAAAAGACAAGGTTGCCCACTCTCACCACTATTATTCAACATAGTTACGGAAGTTTTAGCCACAGCAATCAGAGAAGAAAAAGAAATAAAAGGAATCCAAATCAGAAAAGAAGAAGTAAAGCTGTCACTGTTTGCAGATGACATGACACTATACATCGAGAATCCTAAAGATGCCACCAGAAAACTACTAGAGCTAATCAATGAATTTGGTAAAGTAGCAGGATACAAAATTAATGCACAGAAATCTCTTGCATCCCTATACACTAATGATGAAAAATCTGAAAGTGAAATTAAGAAAACACTCCCATTTACCATTGCAACAAAAAGAATAAAATATCTAGGAATAAACCTACCTAAGAAGTCAAAAGACCTGTATGCAGAAAATTATGACACTGGTGAAAGAAATTAAAGATGATACAAATAGATGGAGAGATATACCATGTTCTTGGATTGGAAGAATCAACATTGTGAAAATGACTATACTACCCCAAACAATCTACAGATTCAATGCAATCCCTATCAAACTACCACTGGCATTTTTCACAGAACTAGAACAAAAAATTTCACAATTTGTATGGAAACACAAAAGACCCCAAATAGCCAAAGCAATCTTGAGAAAGAAAAACGGAGCTGGAGGAATCAGGCTCCTGGACTTCAGACTATACTACAAAGCTACAATAATCCAAACAGTATGGTACTGGCACAAAAACAGAAATATAGATCAATGGAACAAGATAGAAAGCCCAGAGATATACCCATGCACATATGGTCACCTTATCTTTGATAAAAATAGGCAAGAATATACAGTGGAGAAAAGACACCTTCTTCAATAAGTGGTGCTGGGAGAACTGGACAGCTACATGTAAAAGAATGAAATTAGAACACTCCCTAACACCATACACAAAAGTAACCTCAAAATGGATTAAAGACCTAAATGTAAGGCCAGACACCATCAAACTCTTAGAGGAAAACATAGGAAGAACACAGTATGACATAAATCACAGCAAGATCCTTTTTGACCCACCTTCTAGAGAAATGGAAATAAAATAAAAAATACACAAATGGGACCTAATGAAACTTCAAAGCTTTTGCACAGCAAAGGAAACCATAAAGAAGACGAAAAGACAACCTTCGGAACTGGAGAAAATACTTGCAAATTAAGCAACTGACAAAGGATTAATCTCCAAAATTTACAAGCAGCTCATGCAGCTCAATATCAAAGAAACAAACAACCCAATCCAAAAATGGGCAGAAGATCTAAATAGGCAGTTCTCCCAAGAAGATATACAGACTGCCAACAAACACATGAAAGAATGCTCAACATCAGCAATCATTAGAGAAATGCAAATCAAAACTACAATGAGATATCATCTCACACCAGTCAGAATGGCCATCATCAAAAAATCTACAAACAATAAATGCTGGAGAGGGTGTGGATAAAAGGGAACACTCTTGCACTGTTGGTGGGAATGTAAAATGATACAGCCACTATGGAGAACAGTATGGAGGTTCCTTAAAAAACTACAAATAGAATTACCATATGACCCAGCAATCCCACTACTGGGCATATACCCTGAGAAAACCAAAATTCAAAAAGAGTCATGTACCAAAATGTTCATTGCAGCTCTATTTACAATAGCCCGGAGATGGAAACAACCCAAGTGTCCATCATCGGATGAATGGATAAAGAAGATGTGGCACATATATACAATGGAATATTACTCAGCCATAAAAAGAAACGAAATTGAGTTATTTGTAGTGAGGTGGATGGACTTGGAGTCTGTCATACAGAGTGAAGTAAGTCAGAAAGAGAAAAAAAAATACTGTATGCTAACACACATATATGGAATCTAAAAAAAAAAAAAAAGGTCATGAAGAACCTAGAGGCAAGATGGGAAAAAAGATGCAGACCTACTAGGGACTTGAGGATACAGGGAGGGGGAAGGGTAAGCTGGGACAAAGTGAGAGAGTGGCATGGACATATATACACTACCAAATGTAAAATAGATAGCTAGTGGGAAGCAGCTGCACAGCACAGGGAGATCAGCTCGGTGCTTTTTGACCACCTAGAGAGGTGGGATAGGGAGGGTGGGAGGGAGGGAGATGCAAGAGGGAAGCGATATGGCGATATAAGTATATGTATAACTGATTCACTTTGTTATAAAGCAGAAACCAACACACCATTGTAAAGCAATTATACTCCAATAAAGATGTTAAAAAAATATCCTGGGATAAACCATAACAGAAAAGAATATAAAAAAGAATGTATATATATGTATAATGGAGTCACTTTGCTATACAACAGAAATTAACACAACATTGTAAATCAATGATACTTCAATTAAAAAAAAGAATGAAGAAGCTGATGTAAGTACTGTTATGAAAAAAGCTTAAAGTAATCAAGAATTCAATTTGATGTGTGATGTTTAGGGTTTTTTTTTAAACATCTTTATTGGAGTATAATTGCTTTAAGATGTGTTAGTTTCTGCTGTGTAACAAAGTGAATCAGCTATATGTATAAATATATCCCCATATCTCCTCCCTCTTGCATCTCCCTCCCACCCTTTCTATCCCTCTACCAATCAGGTTTATTGGCCGGAGACATATAAATTAGACTAGCAAAAGACAGATTAACAAGAAAAAAACAAATAGAAGTTTATGCTTCTATGTACATGGAAGTACTCTGTGATGAGTAACTCAAAGTAGTGCTGAGAATTTGGGCTTATATAGCACCTTAACAAGAGAACAACACATTTTTAGAGAAGGGAGAAGACAAAAGAAAAGGACTTTGAGTGTCTAGGGCAGCAAATTCTCAGAAGGTAAATATATGAGGGAACTAATGGAAGATAAAGGCTAGTTAATACTCTGTTATATAGATTCCTCTGGTGCCATCTCTGGGCTGATGAGGGTCTAGAGCTGTCTCTGGTGATTAACTCCTGTCCTTCCTAATAGAGAAGGGATGCGGGACACCCTTACAAATTATGTCTTGCTTTTAGGCAAATGGGGGAGGGCAGAGACCTTTTCTTGTATCTGCTGCTTCTCAATTGCCTTCAGCTCAAAATTGTCTTTATGCTGAAGTGGTATATTTGGGGATGGCATAATCTGCTGTCCTTCAATATCAATCAATTTTCTCTAAAAAGTCTGTATGAATTTACACTCACACCGTATATGAAATATATGAGACAGTCCATTTCCATATACCCTTACAAAACATGTTGTTATTCTTTTAAACATTTCTGAATGGATCAAAGATGGAACCTCATTATTGTTTTAGTTTGTGTTTCTCTGATTATAGCAAGACTTCTTAATATTTATAGCAACTTTTATATATAATGGATATTAATGCTTTGTTACATTTGCTACAAAAGACCTAATAATTTAACTTGTACAGCCAGCCAAGTAACACTTTTCTCCTGCCAGCAGCTATTTGAATTGCTGAGTACTGGGTGTAAACAATCAAACAATATAGTTAATCATGTAGACACCATTAAATGAAAATAATGCTTCAGAGAAACAACATAGTAGTACATGATTAACTGACAGATAAGTGGTTCAAAGTCTAAGAAATTGCAGAGCAGGAAAAGAGATTGGGTGGGTCCTGGAGCTGGTTCTTTTCTGACTTGCTGGCATTCTAGGATGAGGAGGTTGAGATGGACTGTGGTTTCCATTGTGATCTTCAGACCCCAAGGGCTCTACAGAGTAGCCAAGGGAACCCCCTCCCCAGTTCTTCCACCAGAGCAGCTCCTCTTAGGTCTGTTTATTATGCCTTTATTTGAATAAAGCACAATAGTCACTTATCTGAAAAAAAAAAAAAGTGAAAACCTCCAGACCAACACCATAGGCCAGAGGTTAAGAGCTAGGTTCTGCAATCAAACTGTTTAAGTTTAAATGACGGTTTTACTACTTACTAGGTAGGTGACCCTGGGCAAGTTTCTTAACCTCCCTAATGCTCTGTCTGCTCATCTGTAATATGGAATTGGGTAGTTGTAGGGATGGAAGAGGATAATGCACAACACATATAAAGCCTGGCGTTTAATAACACTCAGTAAATGTTAGCTAGATATGAAACTATTGTTACAGATGCTTGCCGTCCTAAAATGCCTGGGAAGGAATTCATGGAGGAGGTGGATGCTGAGTTTGCTTGAAGAATGGGTATAATGGGGACACGTAGAGATTGGGGAAGGGGCAGGATCATCCAGAGGTAGAGCTGAGCATGATCTATTTGGAGGCCACAACACAAGGGAAGCAGAATTTATTTATGGGCTACTAGGAGATAAGATTGGATACATGTGTTAGGACCCCACTGTGGAGGACTTTGAATGCTTGGCTAAGGAATTTAGACTTGAAACTTCATGTAGTAAGACATTTTCATCCTTACACAAAAATGCTCTGCAGTAATCTCGTCACATAGGGATGAATTGGGAGATTGGGATTGACATGTATACACTGATGTGTATAAAATAGATAACTAATAAGAACATGCTGTAAAAAAAATAATAAACAAAAAACAAAAAAACCCTGCCTTTAATCAAAGGAACACTTTCCCTTAAATATAAAAGTAATACACGTTCAAAGCAAAAGCTTGACCAACACCGAAAAGCTCAAAGTAAAGAAAAATTTCCCATAATTTTACCACCTACAGTTAATCTGTAACGTATTGTTTTTTAAACTTCTTATGTTGCTTTTTAATATCTCATGAATTATTTCCCAATATCCTTTGTCCTTCTGTTGATTACATCAGGATGAGAGGAATAAAGTTTATGTATCTGACTCATTGTAGGACATTTGGGTTGCACTGAATATCCTTATGTTTACATTTTTATACACAAATTATGATTTTTTCTTAGGAAAAATTCCTAGAGGAGGAATCTGTGGATCAAAGGAATTTATGTTTTAAGGCTTTCTTTTATTTTGTAAGAAATGTTGATAAATTGCCCTCAGAAAGGTGTAACACTTTATCCTTCCATCAAGGAGAGGTATACCCATTACTACTGAGAAAATAGCAGCATCTCTGCCTGGATTCAAGCCACTCCTCATCCTGGCCCTGCTGCCCTCACAGGCTTTTCTCTCTCTCCTCCTCTACAGCCCCACTGCCCTCCTGCCAGATTATTCTCCTCGTACCTCACATATGCAAGCACATATCCATTCAGCAAACATCTCTGAGCACCCACCAGGTAAGGCGGGAGATTGTGGAGGTTAAGATTGTGCCTGGGTTTGATCCCGGCCCTCCCATTCCTGCATGTCAGGGACAATATGAACACCTCCATCCACAGGCTGTAAGGACATACACGATTTCAGACACGTAAAATGCTTCTGACAGTGGCTGGCACGTAGTGAGTGTTCAGCGAACATTAGCTGTAATTATCAGCAATTAGGAACACGGCTCCGTTCTAGGCAAAGGGGGTCCAGGTGTAAGAAGATGGCCAAGGTCTCTGCTTCCGTGGAACTAATTCTAGATGCTATGAAGTGCTCTTCAGAAAATAAAAAGGGTGTTGTGATGGCAGATGATCATAGGGTGGGAGATGGGGCATCATGTTCAGAGGTCAAGGAAAGCCCCTGTGTGATGTTACCTCTGAGCCAAGACCCGAGGCGGAGACGGGCACTCAGGAGAACAGGGCTGGCTTGGTTTTTGATGTCTCAGATGGCAGGAGCTTTGCATCTCAGAGCTCACTGCAGGCAGATGGCTGTTCTAAATTCTCTATTTGTTTTAAGGCTCATAATACATGGGGATATATTTTGATCCTTTTATATCCTTGTCTTTATCTTAGTCAAGCACCAGGAGTCATGTGGCCGGCCTTTACATCTCTTACTCGTCATTAACCAGCGTGGGCTGGTGGCCAAGGCAAGAAGGACTTGTGGGCGTTGCCATGTTTTTTTACTAATTGATTCTGCTTGATTTCCTGCTTTGCTGAACCTCTTCCTAATCCTCTTGGCTTTCTTTGCCTGCTCCCTTGAAGGCCCTCCCTTTTGTTCTCTAAAGTCATTGTCTCCCTGACATGAAAAGCACTTCAGTGAGCCAAATGCATAATTATATTAAGTAAAATAAAAACAAAAACAAAAAACTGAGTCCCTTAATGGAGAATGAGTTTTCTCCATGCATTGTAAACCTTGGGCGTGGAGGGGAAGATATCTTCCTTCTTCCCCCTCCCCTTTCCTTCCTAAACCAATAGTTGGCCTGGGTAAAGGGGAAACTGAGTGGGCTGCCCTTAGGAACAACGCTTTGAGCTGTGGGCAGCGGCCAGGAAAAGGCTGCCCCCAGTCCCTTCCCCCCCGTGGAGGTGACGCACACACCTGTGTGCTCTTCACTGCCCCTTTCAGGTATCTGATCTTTCAGGATCGAATGGCCATTGGTTGTTATGTATTGGGTGGAGAGGCTTCTGTGAAGGCTCAGTAGGTCCCGGTATGAAAATGCAGGCCCCTCAGGAACAAATGAAATGTATCAGTTTCCACCAGGATCTAGGCTAGTTGCTTTCAAACTTTTTGACTATAACCCACAATTTATATCATGATCCAGTTATATAATACATAAAATTATGCTTGCTTTTCCTATGTAGGATGCATTGTGATATTTTCTATTCTATTCTTTAAAAAAAGGATTGGTCACATTTCTCTAAATTGCTTTCACGAACTACTAATAGATTAGCCGTGTTTACAAAATGTTGTTTAATAACTCACAGGCATCTGTCTTAGATCTTGCCCTGAATTTTCTCGTTCCAATAATATAACTATTTAAGTGCCTAAGTTACATTTAAGAGGTTGAAAAAGTTTGTACTATTTGATCCAGTAATTCATCTTTGAATCTGCCTCAAGGAAAGATTGTTACTAGGAGGGAGGGCCAAGGGACCATCATGCACGTTCTGTTTTCAGCCAGAGGTTTGACAAATTTGTGGGAAAGATGCAAAATGAAAGCTGGATTTGATTTTAGACTGTGAAGGAAATTTAAAAACACCTAATCCAATTTCCTCACCTAAAGAATTAGATGTAATCACAGCTAGTTGAACAACTATACTTAAAGAGTATTTCCTAATGGCTCAGTGTTAACGTGGAAGGAATCTCCAACAATAATACTCCACTGGCCTCTGACTTAAGCCTTAATGCTTAGAACCATCGTATTACCAATGACTTGGACAAAGACCTGGAAGACTGTTTAGCCAGTTCCCAGATAGTAAGATAAAGCATTTAGGTGAAATAATTAGGACTCAAAAAAAATCCAGCCAGGTAACAAAGATGGGCTAAAACTATCAAAGTGAACTCATTTAGTGAAAATATAGAGAACTTCTGTGAAAAAAGTTCAAAATGCAAATGGCACAAAAACTGGCTGGAGCAAACACGAGTTTTTCCTCTAGGATGCTGTTTGGCAGCATCCCCAGCCTCTACCCACTAGACACCCGTAGCAGCCTCTCCCCGACTTGTGACAACCAAAAATGTCTCCAGACTTTGCCAAATGTCCTCTAGGGGGCAAAATTGCCCCTGTTGAGAACAACTGAGATAAACTGAGGTACTACTGGGGGAAAGGACCTAATGAATTTTTATCACCAGCAAAAGTAGCAAAGCAAATGCAATCTGAGGCTGCATTATTATCAGTACTAAGAGCAACTACTGATGACTGAGTGCTTACCCTGCACCCACCACTATGCTAAGGTCTTTACTTGTGAGTCCTCACTTAATGCCCACATGAATTCTAGGAAGTAGGAACACCATTGTCACCATTTTTTTGATGTCTAGGGACCTTAAGTGGCTTGCTTAAGGTCTCACAGCCAAGATGGTTAGAGCCTGCACCTTGCCCATTATGCTATGAGAGTTTTAAAATTACACACTAAGTGTACATCCTAGGAAGCAGCCAGTACCCTCATCCACCTGGAACATGGCTGAGAAGCAAGAAATAAGCTGCAAATAACCCTGAGGTGCCCACCCTCCCCCATATCCTAAAGCAGGGACTTGCCTGTAGCTGAGGTCCCAGCCTCCAGTCAGCTCATTGACTTAATTCATACAAAATTCGAGTATGCTCTTTCTTCTATCATCAGGATAATAGAGTCATTTTTAGAAAGATTGTCAACGAAAGTGATTAAGAGTACATGGCGGCACTTTGAGGTTAAGTTTCAGTTATCTGGAAATGTTGTGCTGCCTGGGACCCCAGTTCTCGAGCACTGTGGCTCCAGGTCCAGGTCCAGAGGTCACTGGGATCACGATGCTGAAATGCTCTCTGAGGCTGAGTCCTGAGATTAGGGGGCAGGTGGCAGAGGGCTAAGATCTGGACAGCAGTCTTAACCAAGTCAGAGCCAGGTGCCATGAAATGTCAAGAAGTGTCAGAGGATGCCGAGCCCAGGGAGCCATAGCTGGGCAGTGACCTGTCCCCCCGCCAACCCCCGTCCCAGGGGCAGCCTTGGAGCTCAGGTCTGTCAACCTGTAGAACGCCAGCAACAACCAGGAGCATCACACGCAGGAGATGGGCCTGCAGTGGCTCATCATGTGCCGTGGTGAGTCCTTCACAATCCAGCTGCATTTCAACAGATGCTTCCACTCTGGGAACGACTACATCATCTTTGTGGCTGAGAGAGATGAGCCCGCCCCTGCCCAAGACAAAGTTCACCTCAAGGGCCCCTGCCTCTCCTTTCTGAACTTCCACATTTTTTTTTTTTTTTTTTTTTTTGTGGTACGTGGGCCTCTCACTGTTGTGGCCTCTCCTGTTGCGGAGCACAGGCTCTGGATGCTCAGGCTCAGCAGCCATGGCTCACAGGCCCAGCCGCTCCACGGCATGTGGGATCCTCCCGGACCGGGGCACGAACCTGTGTCCCCTGCATCGGCAGGCAGACTCTCAACCACTGCGCCACCAGGGAAGCCCTTGCCTCTCCTTTCTGAACCGCCCTCCCCTCTCTTCTCCGGGGACCCTATTAGCGCTGTTAAGAAAAGATTCGGCCAACTCAGCAAACTAAGATTGTGATAATAACAGACAACTTTTAAATACACAACAGGCACTGTGCTAAAAATTCACACACATTATCTCATTTAATCCCTGTGACAAGACTTTCAGGTGGGTACTACTAAGATCCCATTTTACAGATTGAAAAACTGAGGCCCACAGATCGTTAGTGCGTGGCCAAGGACACCCAGTGGCAGTAAAAGGATTAGCAAGTGGTAGGAGAAGGTAAGGGTCCTCCCAGTTCCTCTGAAATCGTGTCACATAGATTTTGCACCTCACTTTGGGGTCATTCTCTCTTACACAGGACCACAGCCCACCGAGCTGCTGGGAACCCGAGCCACCTTCTTGCTCACCCAGGTCTGACAACGCAATGTCTGGAGTGCTTCTGACTTCACCATTCATGCCAACTCACTCTTTGTCTCCCTTTTCACACCAGCCAATGCAGTCATGGGTCCCTACACTCTGAAGATGGAGATCTCTCAGGGCCCTGGTCACAGCACAACCCACCCTCTGGGGACTTTCATCCTGCTTTTTAACCCTTGAAGTGCAGGTATAACTTGCTCACAGGTTGTAATTCTAACTGATCCATTGGGAACACTCCGTGAGGATCTACTTAGAAAGCCCTGAAGATAAAATGCTGCACATCTATGCAATGTGTTACCATGTGCTCACTAAAAATCATCTTTACAGAGAATTTTTAATGGCATGATGAAAATGTTCATGGTGTGATGTTAAGTGAAATCAATTAGGAAATGGAACACATATGATTCTAATTACATATATGTGCCGAGAAAGAGAGCACAGCCAGAATACACTAAAATGTAACGATGGCTGTTTCTGAGTAGTAAGAAGGGGAGATCTTCATTGTCTTCTTTCTGTCATCCATATTTTCCAAATCTCTATGAAAAGCTTGAGGCTTTTATAACCAAGAAAAGATCATCTTTTTTTAAAGTATAGATTATATCGCTGGCCTCTAGAAAAGCACACAGGCTTTTAAGGGGTCCAGTCTTGATTTCTATTGCCATCAACCCATTGCTTATCTGATTATCCAGCAAGATACTGTCATTACTGTTTTTAATTTTATTACTGTTTGTTTTTTGGTTTGGGGCTTTGCCCCCTCTGCTATTCTTAACTGCTCAGAGGATGACATCTACCTGCCAAGTGAAATACTGCTGCAGGAGTATATCATGATGGACTATGGCTTTGTTTACAATGGTCATGAAAGAGTCATCACCCCCTGGCCCTGGAACTATAGGCAGGTAACACTGTCACCTGAAGTGGGCCTTACACAACTCTATTAGGTTATGAAGTGCCACTAACAGAAGTCACGATGTGCAGTGCTGGACCAATTTCCCTTCCAGTGAGAGGCACAAGGAGGGAAGGGGAGATGTCTTTCCTTCTCAGTTTTTAATATTTTATGAAAAACTTAAAACATGGAGGTTCAGGCTACTATAATGAACCTCCATGAACCTCTTACCTTCAATAGTGATCAATTTATGGTGTATTTTGTTTCATCTAATCAGGGATTTGCAAACTATAGCCTGTGGGCCAGATGTGGCCCACTGCCTGTTTTTGCATGGCCCAAGAGTTTAGAATGGTTTTCATACTTTATAAACTGCTGAAAAAAAATTTTTTAAAAATAACACAGTTGGGCTTCCCTGGTGGCGCAGTGGTTGAGAGTCCGCCTGTCCATGCAGGGGACGCGGGTTCGTGCCCCGGTCCAGGAAGATCCCACATGCCACGGAGCGGCTGGGCCCGTGAGCCATGGCTGCTGAGCCTGCGCGTCCGGAGCCTGTGCTCCGCAACGGGAGAGGCCACAAAAGTGAGAGGCCCGCGTACCGCAAAAAAAAATAATAATAATAAAAAATAAAATAAAAAATAACACAGTCATCCCTTAGTATTTGCAGAGGATTGGTTTCAGGATGCCTCCACAGATACCAAACTCCAAGCATGCTCAAGTCCCTTATATAAAGTGGCATAGGCCACTCTCGCCTTCTGAGATGGCCCACGCTCTGTCTGTGGAGTGTGTTTCTCTCTAAATAAATCCACTTCTTACCTATCACTTTGTCTCTCACTGAATTCTTTCTGCCATGAGACATCAAGAACCTGAGCTTCATTAAGTCCTGAAACCAGATACTGAAACCCCTGCCAGGTGGGAGAAGTTAACTGTATGCTGCCACAACTGGCAGGACGCAGGACCGGTTGGAACCAGAAGGTTGATGATGCTGACTCCCACTTACCTCACCCCAACCAATCAGAAGAAAGTCCATGAGCTGACCACACCCTCCTCTTTGGACCATTACTATAAAACTCCTCACTACCCCCTCCAGGTCGGGACACTCAGTTTTGAGAGCATTAGCTCTCTGTGGCCCCCTTTGCTTGGCAAAGCAATAAAACTATTCTTTTCAACTTCACCCCCCAATAAATAAATAAATAAATAAATAATAAAGCGGCATAGTATTTGCATATAGCCTATGCACAACTTCCCATGTACTTTTAAATCATCTCTAGATACTTATAGCACCTAAAACAATGTAAATGCTATGTAAATAGTTGCTGGCACTGTGCAGCAAATTCACGTTTTGCTTTTGGGAATTTTCTGGAATTTTTTTCCCTAATATTTTTGATCCTATTGGTTGAATCCATGGATGTAGAATCCACGGACACAGAGGGCCAACTGTATTTTGTGATGTGCAAATTATATGAAGTTCAAACTTCGGTGTCTAATAAACAGCCTTTCATTGGAACACAGCTATGCTCATTCATTTAGGTATCATCTGTGGCTGCTTTCATGCTACAATGGCAGAATTGAGTAGTTGAGACAGAAACCCTATGGCCTGCAAAGCCTAAAATATTTATTATCTGGTCCTTTACAGAAAAACTTCGCCGATCCCTGGTGTATTCTCCCCCATTCCTCGCATCTCATCACTGGATTTTTGGGAAGCAAATTACCATATCATTTAATCGAGTAATACTTCCAAATATAGTTCTAAAAGATGATGACTCTCTGAAAAACTGAGCCACAATACAGTATTATAACTGAAATAATGAACAGCAATTCTTTAATAACACCAAATATCCAGTTAAGGTACACAGCGGGGGACCTTTGACTCTGGGCAACTTTTCTACTCTCAACCACCAGCCGTGGCTGGGACAGTTTCTCTCCGCCTCCCACTGCCTTCTCAGCCCTGTCCACACCCACCGGGAGGGAAGAGTGGGTTGGGGGCAGGAAGCAGGGAGCCTTGCTGAGGAAGATCAGGTTCCCTGTTCTCCAACAACTTGTGTAATTTTTTGAAACTTAGAAAAATACCAGGGTATTTGGTAGCCAAAAGGGTTACGACACATGTAGCAAATACATGTTGTAGCCGTATGTCATGAGTGTACACTGGCTTCTCCTGTGCTCACACCACCAGCACTGAACCCTCTACCTGATTTGAAGGTTCTCCACGCTCTTCCCCCTCTCCTCACATGCCTGGCCTTATATGTATCCAACCGATCTCTTCCTACTCTCGCAAGTCCTCCAGAAGGAAAATCTCTGAGCCTCTGTCTCTGGTACCCATCACGCCCAAAGACCTTGGGTGAATGCCTCCACCCCGCTCTCTTCCTGTCTACCTTGTCCTTCCAAGCCCACCGGCTCCAATAGCCTTCTCTGATGCCTTCAGCTGACTCGCATCTTTCCAAATTCCATTTGCATTTTCCATCAGAAACACACAGGTTAGTTCTTCAAAATTCTGAATCTTAACACATTCCCAACTTGACTTACAAGCTCTTTGAAGGCAGGAACTTGTCTGATATTTAGCCCCACCCCAAACGTCGGTGTTACTGACTAGGCTTCAGAATTCTAGACGTTTTTACTCTTCTCTTTGTTCTTCCTTGAAATCCCCTGGAAGTTTGAAGAGGACATGATAGATATCTGCTTTCAGATTCTGAACAAGAGCCTGTACTTCTTAGAGAACCCAACCAAAGACTACTCCCAGTGGAACAATGTGGTGTATGTCTGCAGGGTGGTGAGCGCCATGGTAAGGCCAGAAGCTTCCCCGGCCCTGCCTGAGCTCCCCCCCCGCCCACCGCACCGTGAAAACCCACCTGTCTCTCCTCTGCAGATCAACAGCAATGATGACAGCGGTGTGCTGCAGGGGAGCTGGAGAGAGGACTACTCCCCGGGGGTCAGCCCACTGGAGTGGACGGGCAGCGTGGCCATCCTGTGACAGTGGGCAGCCAGGGGCGGGCAGCCTGTGAGGTATGGGCAGTGCTGGGTATTTGCAGCTGTTATGGGTACCGGTGAGTGAGGGGGAGATGGGAATGCAGAATCACTTATTGACTCTTCGTGATAACTCTTCGAGGTTGGGCTGGGATTATCTCCACTTCACCTGAGTTAACTGTGGCCTGTCCACAGCCCCATGGCTAAGGAGTGGTGGTCACTTGACTCTTAACCAGCACACTCTATAGTCTCAAGGAATCCTGCAATAACCAGGGAAGGTGTGACCTGCTGCAATCACTCTTCAGTCTCCTTGATGGAGCAGTTAGGCTATTAAAATGGTCACCTGGATAGAGGAGCTTGTGGTCCCAAAGTGGAGGCAAAACTGGCTTCTTTCTGACACCTGCTCAGGCTTCTCAGCTCAAGGTGAGCCTGGAGTCA